CTGATTTTCCGCTCCGCCAACCTAAAGAAATCTGTAACTGCCCGATAGCTCCGCTGTGAAAGACATGGTAACCGATTGACGGCTCCTACTAGCGAGGGTTCACAAATATTAACAGCTATATATATCTTGTGATTTGGCCCATAATTACGATCAACAGATTGTGGAAAATCTTAATGAGTAAACTGTAATGAATATTGTCACTCCTGGGAGATGAGAAGAGGCTTTGAAAATGTTGGGAACCGCATTATTTTGTTGTGTTGTAAACTTGCAGTCTGTGCCGTAAACCTCTCTGCACGTCTCCTTTTAGTGTAGATTTCATGCATCAAGCATAACTGATCCTTTAGAACATGGGTGGGCAATTCCAGTATCCTGCAACTATTAGATCCAGACTTGGTCCAACACACCTGGAACAAATGGCTGACTTACCTCCTCAGTTAGCAGTCAGTTCCTCCAGAGTCTTCTCAATCATCTAATTACTTTATTCAGGTGTGCTGAACCAAAGGCACATCTAAAAGATGCACGATACTGGCCCTCAGGAATTGGAATTGCCGTTTCCCGTGCTTTGCTCTGCACAGGAAACTGAGACCTCTTTGATAGTTTCTACTCTGCTGATCGGATGCATAAACTGTATCGATACATTATGTCCCAAAGTTTAACAGCGCAGCGGCTTGGATCTGCTGATCCTCTGTGCAGCATAGTTGTTGAGGATAGTGCTTTAGAGAGTTTCTCTTCAGAATCAACCCCTCCCTTCCTTCTCATGCCTTCCCCCCACCGTTACACACACACACACACCAGCTGAGGAAAATCTCTGCTGAATTCATGTCTTCTTTCACATTTCTAAGAGGCGTAAAACCTTTCTGGATTAAAGAAGGTAATCTGACAGGCAGAAGATTGTATTAGCTGAAATGTTGGCACAGCTTTTAATTTCTCGTACTTCCACCTCCACCAAGCCGCCACCCCCCTCAGCCTTCCTCTGCTGCTGACCTGCCGGATGGTATTATCATGTTTTGCTCTTGAATTACAGCAAAAAAAAAAAGGCACCCAAATCTTCCCTGCTCTTCAGTCCCTCTCTCTCTCATGTTTTCTTTCTCATATCTCCTTCTTACCTCTCTCTAGGCTCTCCCAGCTGTGACAGCACACACTCAAGTGAACCAGTGAATTATCATTTGCTAATCCTTGCTGATTACGGAGCTTTCCATGCAGCTCTTATCTGCTGCTGAGCCCGCTTTTCACTCCGAAGCTGCCAATTATTTTTCGGGCAGCCCGGAAAAGGATAGATTTCTTTCTGTCAGCCAGCTGCACTTCGCTGCCAGTTTCTTCTTCCTTCCACCTAAGCAAGCTGTATAGGCACGCATGCGGCAGGTGGGCTGGCTGAGGGTATGTATTTTAAGCCCCATGCGCTTGTTGAAATATCATATTGGGAGATTGAGTTCAGGATTTGTTTGCAATTGAAAACGCCTTAATTCTGAACACCCATTCATCTGTCTAGAGAGAACTTTGAGTATTTAAAAGGTTGCTGAAGAGGAAGGTTGTTAAATAATCCCAATAAGCCATCCGTATCACACACATTTGGGTTTTTTGGTTTCAAATAGTTAAAAAACAATCCACTGGACATGTTGCTTCCCTTCCAGGAAGCTTTTTCAGTTCAAAATTTTATAAATTTTTTATATCAGTACCAAGGCCAACATTTTGTTTGCGTTCTTCCAAGAAGCGGAATGGCAGTGCAGCACTGTGACTCATCAATGCTCCTTGTGGGTTGGTGCTTGGACCATCAGAGGGGTACAGGACGGAGTGAGAGGCCTTGCCCAGGGGGGAGGGCAAGCAGATCACAGCATACTCAGCTGATGCGGCAACCAATCGTCACAATAATGGGAAGTGACGTGCACATCAGAGCAATGTGGGTCAGAACGCCAGACGACCAGCCCGCGGCCTGTATCTGCTCTGCCTGTCTAATCTCCTGCAGTCCGACCAGACGGGGCTCTATAATCGACCCTGATATTCACTGAACACACATTACCATCGCCCATCGCACTCTCAAGCACAGACACGCACGAGGAGCTCCCAGGAATCTCTGTGTGGTGGAAGTGGATCGGTTTGGATTCATCGGTTCTGGATGTCCTTCTGTTTGTGCAGAACGCCTTGTCGAGGCCCCACAGACGTTCCGGGCAGACCCGAGCTAAATTCAGTTTGCTTAATGTGCAACGAATTCAAATGTTACCCTTCACTTCATTATGGTCGCTCTTTGATGTGACAACTGTTTTTCCACCGTTATCCACGCCTTTGTGGGTTCTGACATATTTATGAGAACGGCTAAAAATAATTTCAGACTTCTCTGTATCCGCAGTGCGATGCAGACACTGAGCTATGATTTTTTCTCCCTTTTTTTTGTGTGTGTGTGTGTGTGGGGGGGGGTCAGATGGACACGGAACTTAATAGGATTCCCATGAAATGGTCAGAGGGCTGGCGTTGGAGGGGTGGAAAGATGGGAAAGGCTGGGGAGGGGGCAGCAAGCAGCAGTGAACTTTTGTGTTTGCTTATCACCTGGGTACTGATTTTATAATCAAAAGGAAGCCCAGAGGAAGTGACAGATCAGGCTGTTGTTGTGTTTTTCTCCACTTTTTTGTTTAAGTGTAAGAGGAGCTCAGAAGTTCCGCCTTCCCAGAATCTGCTTCTCCCTGATCAAAGGCTGTAATTTCCTGTTCGTTTCAGGACCCCATCCCCCAACTCGGGGCTCTAGTTTGCTAATCCCACCCCTCAAAACTACCCTGTATACACACACACACAGCCACCCTAGCCCCTACTATGGGCCCCTCCTGCTGGTGTCCCGCACGCCTGTGCTTATAGGTCTGCTCCACTCTGGGGCCAGGGACCAGGAGGCTCTATGCTTTGTATCAGAAGGGCCACGACTGCGCACCAACAAATCCTCATTGTCCTGCGTTAGAGTGACGACCGGGGAGGAGGAGGGGAGATGGACGGCAGTTGGGTAGGCCAGGGAGGCATCTCTGTCTGGTTTCTATTCAAATCCAGGTATCCACTGTGAGGATAGCGAGGGGGGTGCAGAGGGGCTTACACGTCTCTTCCAAATCGAGGAGCAAAGTTCAAGCAAGCCTTAATTCTGGGCATTCTGGGCCTGCATTAACTTCTGCTTGTGTCGGGGTCTCAGAGTTCCTTTTCTGAACTTAACAGCTGATCAGATAGTGATAGTGGATTTCTCAAATCCACGTTGGCCCTTAAAACGCTGCACAGGCATGTCGGAGACAAAATAACATAGAGACCCTCAGTTACCTCCATAAAGTCCAAACATTATCAGTCTGTCAGCAACGGACTTTGAATACCTGCTTTCTTTCAATAAGCAATCGCTCCTTGAGAACACAGTGTTTTTATCCAACATTTAAAGACAAAACACTCAATACGTCCTCAGCTGTCTGTGAACTGTTGTGGTCCCAAAGGCTCTGCAGACTGGAGCCCAGGAGTGCATGACTTCAGAAAGAATCCAGGGCCGGTCGGTGGTGAGGGCTTGAAATATTTCAGAGTAACAAGACTCTACATGTACTGGCATTTCAGAGGGATTCAACATGAAAGCGTTAGAAGTGCAACATGCTTTTTTTTTTTTTTTTTTTTTTTTACTCCAGTTTCTGACTTCATGTAACTAAATCCATGGCTTCTGGAAATCTGCTGTTTACTCATGACTAATTATAGAATAAAAATATCCGCCAAAGTTATTATAGTAGATTAGTTTGGTGTGTATTGTTTTTACACTCGGCGGCAGCAGCATCCTTTGTGAACATCTGTGATGGGTTTTTGTTGGTTGTTATTCCTTTTTGCGCTTAGCTGTTTTTCTCCCTCTAAATTTTAGGAGTTTACGTTCAGCTTTTGTCCAAACCTCTCAAAGAAGACATTGGCATTTCCCAGCATTTCCTGTCTCAGAGAATATTCCAGACCTATTGACCACCACATAAGCCAGTGGGGGAAACCAGAGAAAAAGGGGAATAGAAAATGACAAGCTCTGTGAAAATGTCTGTTTCTCCTATTCTTCCTCTTTTGTCACGGTCTTTATTTAACCTCCTCCTACGATGAGGCTTTCTTTGGTTCTCTTTCTTCTGCGTACCCAAACTCCTACAAGTGAGTTCTGTATGTTTTAAAGAACACTTTTGTTCTTCGTTTACTTATTTAAAAACTGCTGGGTAAAACTGTTGCTGACATCATTGATAATGAAGAAACTCATCAGATTTAACCATGTTGCCAGAGGGGTGGAGGGAGCGGGGCTTCCGAGCATGCTGGGAGTTCTCATGAAGCGAAACGTGGTCACCCCCAGAATTCCAGTGGCAGCTCCAACCTTGTGCCACAGTGTTAAAGGATGACGCCCAACCCCTCACCCCCCCGCCCTCTGCTCACAGAGCGGGGCAGAAGCTGGCTGACCTGTCCCTCCGCTGCAGCCTCTAATGGCTGACCTGCCCCGTCTGGTCGGCCCTGCTTGCTTTTGTCTACTGTCTGGCTCAGTTCCTCTCCAGTCACACGTCGCTACCGGCTACCGCAGCCTGCATTCCCACGGAGTGGACAATGAACAGACTCAAAATCCAACACTTCACAGTTTCACTGTCTTTTCACACATATAACCTTTTTTAAGTGTCCCATGTTTGAGTTCTTACACATACTGAACATAAACTCTCGTTACAACACACACACACACACACACACACACACACACACACACACACACACACACACACACACACACACACACACACACACACACACACACACTCTTTCACTCACAGTAGGATAAGTAAAAACATTCCTGCGGCAAATAGAGATGAATTTCTCTTCATTAGTTAACATTGGCAGAGATCAATGAAGCTTTTTTATATTCACTAAGACAGTGAATAGGTTTCTTTTATGTAGAAATGCTGCTGTAAAAAATTAAGAAGTGATATCTGGGCTACATTTTCTGGCATGGAACAGAGAAATAAGCCTTGAATAAAAGCAGTACAGATACATACCTAAAGAGTGGCAAAAAGTTCAGTGTCTGGAAACTGGCAGTGGGACGGCAGAGAAGACGAGCGAAAAGTGTCCATATTCAGAGGGAGACCTCATGTACGACCTGCTGAAAAGTTGCCGCTGAAATGGGTTGAACGGGTTCCTCTCCCTTCCTCCCTCCCCTTTCCCTCTCTCTCTCTCTCTGTCTCTGCGTTTCTCCTCTCAGATGGGCGAACACACACACTCTGTTGCACACACACACACTTCTGAAATGCAGGCTCTCAGTCTGATCTCTCATGGCTCTAGTGGGAAGTCAGCCAGTAGTTTGCAAATACAACTGCCTTCCAAACCTCTATTTTTCTCTCTGTCTTTCCCTCCCCCCCTTATTGTCATTCCTTATGTACATCTACATAAATAAACAAGCAGATGCATTCCCACATGCACTACCTCCCACCCACGTATAGACGCACACTTTTACTCACAAAAGTCTGGCTACAGCTCAAGTTATTGAACTGGCCCACATTTTCTTGCATGCACTATATATGAGGCAGTTGACTGACAGCCGCACACATAGTCATGTGTGGGTCCAGGGCTGCTGTGATTGGTTAGAAGCCTGGGAAACTGTGGCGCGAGGGGGGAATTGGGGCATCCTGTGATTGGTCTGAGCTCAGACCATTGAAAGCAAAAAGCTTCTCCTCTGAATGGTTGCCTAGTTGGGTGGAGTTAGAGGGGTGCTGTTGGAAGGTGGGGGCCAGATTTGCTTAACAATCCTGACAGCTTATCATCTTTAGAAGAGCGTTAACCGTTATGGATGGGCTGATCAAAGGCTTATGTATATGCACTGCAGGTGTATTCTGTTATATGATAACTGGGAGAGAAAATGACCCCATTTTCTTCTCACCTGCAAACAGGTAGATTAAATTAGGAAGCAGCCGGAACACTAGCTCTTCAATAAAAATGATGAAAACCAATTGGTCTTAATGTAATGAATCTACCAGAGTCTAGAAAAACAAAACAAAAAACAAGCCTGAACATTTTTGGTTGGGTTGAGCAATTATCTCCTGTCCTTCTGAAGTAAAGGATCATAAGATATTTAATTGTTAATGGCTTTTCTGGCACATAATATTAAAGGCTTAATAAAAATCAAAAATGAGGTCATGATGCTTAGTATTATAATGAGCTTTGATGATCCCTTTCTTCCGCAGAAACGCATAGATCCTTTTTTTTCCAACAATACGTCTACAAGTATAAATAACCGTGGGCTTAGTGTTTCGTAGCAATAACCAATCATATTCATCTTTCACTTCACACAATATATTTTTTATTCTGGTCCATAATGTAGTTGCCATTTACCCTTTAGCTCTTGGACAGTTCTAGTAGTATATAGACTTTATTGTTACTGCAAGGTGCCCTGGAGTCACCTGCTCCACGCAGCCCTGAACCACCATGCATGGCAGTAGGAGGTTTTGGTGCTTATGTCATTTTGGATTTTCACCAAATGACATAGACATTGGTGTACTTAGTTTACTATCCACAACCCTTCTCGTGTTGTTCTGATCTCTTCAATAAATTGTGGCTAGTTCTGTGTTTCCATCCAATTGTCATGCAAATTTTGAGCAAACTTTTAAAATGTTGTAAATAGGGGTGTAAATAATTATCGTTTTGTATCGATGCATCGATCCAAAAGCCGACGATCCGATGCATCGATACGTCCGCAAGATAATCGATACATGTTTTTTTTTCCTCAGTCCTATTTTTATCCATTTGCTCCTGGACGTAATTCTCCCTCCCGTGGTGCGGTGGCGCTAAACCTATTTTGCCCTCCTACCTCGCTTCCTGGTTATACTCTTACAGCAGTGTGTTGCAGCAAGCTTGACACAGACATTTTTAAATTATGCTCATTATTAAAGCGTGGTCTGTGCTACACATTGTGGGTCTAGATACGGCCGAGGCGGCGAGGAAGTGGGGACGAGTTTAGTCCGACGACGGAGGGACATGAGGGCCAAAAAGAGCGGAGATCCAGGTAGAAAAAGTGTCTCAGCGTTCTCGCGCACCTCGCTCTTCCAGCAGGTCAAACTTCACGAGTTGTTTTCCGCAATTTCGGTCATAAAAACAAAACAAGCTGGCCTCTGCGGCGCTGTTTGCGGTCAGCTACAATTTGGAAGAGGAGCAGCGGAGCGTCTCTCAAGGGGGCGGTGACGTCGACACTCTGGAGCCGAGGTATTTCATTGAACTCATTACACTAATTTATCTATTTTATAGAGTATTTGTAGAGTATTTTTGCAGTATTTTTTGATGCAACTTTACTACTTCTGTTATTTGCTGTTGTTTCTAAAAAAAAATGCATAACGATATTACAACTTTCATTGATTTATTTCAAACTTGAAACTTTGTTTAGCCTGTAAGGTGTAAAAAAAATAATAATAATAAAAAAAATTTTTTTAACCGATTAATCGAATCGAACCGTGGTGTATTCTTGAGTATCGAAAATAATCGAATCGTTGGGTCACGAAATCGATACTGAATCGAATCGCCATGATGGATGTGATTTACACCCCTAGTTGTAAAGCCGGGTGTACACTATGCGATATTTTCAATTGATTCATGCAGCTACAGCTCAAACAGAACCGCAGGGTTTAAAAGTTTACAGCTCACAATGAATGTTCTCACACTGTGCGGCCCAACGCCTTGATGCGATCTTACGATGGTAGACTGAATTCCAAACATGTTTGATTTTCTTCTGACCTACTGATTCCTGATCGGGAGTTGGTTCTAAGAGGCTAATTGTCCCTCATTACCCCCTGTATACTACACGATGCACAATGAGGCTGAAACTTGAAACGATCAAACAATTCTTGCATGACTGGATAATCGGCCTGAAATGGCAAAAAAATCTTATAGTTTATACCCTGCTTAAGAGAAAATGCAAATTGAATGTATTTACATTTAGCTTTTATGAGCGAATTAACTACAACACAAATTGTAATTTTGTCAGAAGTTGACTTTCCCCATGTCTGGGATAAACATTAAGCTAGTTGTAAATAGGGATAGGTACCAAATTCAGTATTTTTATTGGTACCGACCGAATTCTTTCTTTGCTACAAAGTAACTATTCATATAAAATGAAACCGGTACAATGTTCCAGTACCTAAAAACATCAATATGACAGAAGAAGAAAAGGTGTGTGTTCGATTTCAGTGGCTGCATCGTTTAAGGACCCCGTCTACCTGGACTGGGTCCTTCGAGGTCCGTGGAAACAAGGTGGAAGAGTTTGGCTATGGATTCTAACAGGTCTAGCGTTCTCTGGCTTTTACCGTCCGTACGCACTGTTTCCTAGCAAATGTTGCAGTTGACACACAAAACACAACGTCTCACTACTGTTTTGTGTGCTAATAGCATTTTTGAGGAGCTTCAGCAGCAGTACCGTTGTTGTGAATATCAAAGTCCCCACACTGCACAGGTATTAGAATCTGTGCTTAAATGTCAGCTAAACCCATTTGCACAAGGACGGACAAAACATTTCCATAAATCAAACATTACCCCATATCTGACTTAATAACCATTTAAAACAACAATTTTCATTAATATCAGACATAAAGATTTACATACGATGAGGTGGAAATCTGAAGATAATTAAGTCCTCTCAGACATCCAACACCACTTGATGTAAAACATCAGATTCAAAAGGGTCGCAGTCACAAGGCATTAATGCGACCAAAGGAGGGCATCAAGGAAGTTCGGCAAACCCTACACTTTGTCGGGAGAGATGAACAAGCTAGCTGAGCAATTTATTTACAATACCAATAGGGAACACCAAAATGGTGGAGGCATGGCCATATATATGTGCTCTGCCTTAGAAGTGGGGCGATGGTGGCGTTGGATGTAGGAGTTTGCCCTGAAATCGAAGGGTTGACGGTTCAAGCCCCGACTCTGACTTTCAGTGTTGTTGTGTCCTTGGGCAAGACACTTCACCTGCATTGTCTACTGATGGTGGGCCCGGTGGCGCCAGTGTACGGCAGCCCCGCTTCTGCCAGGGCAGCTACAATGTGAGTGTGTGCGTGAATGGGTGAATGAATGTAGTGTAAAATGCTTTGGTCAAGTTACCTGACTTGAATAAAGGCGCTATATTCAATTCAATTCAGTTTACTTATATAGTGCCACATTCACAACACATGTCATCTCAAGGCACTTTACAGTTCAACCAGATCATACAGTCAAATTGATACGAAGTTTTCTATCTAAGGAAAACCAGTTGATTGCATTGACTCATTGACTCAAATACAATCCCTCACACTAAGCATGCTTGTAGCAACAGTAGAGAGGAAAAACTCCCTTTTAACAGGAAGAAACCTCCAGCAGAACCAGGCTCAGTGTGAGCGGCCATCTGCCGAGGCCGACTGGGGTTCAAGGAGACAGAAGCAGAGACACAAAAAGCAGCTGTAAAAGGCGGCCCCGTCCAGGAAACACACAGCCAGGCAGACGAGCACCGAGCCAGTTCCCATGCCAGAGGACGAATATATAAGTACATGCCATTTACCATTTACCAAGTAAAAAGAATACAAGTATGTCAACAGCAGTGAGCAATGTTATGGCATGTATCACTGTGAATATTGAGATGGAAAAAATTATTAGCATAGTATCTATGGAGTACCATATTCAAAAATAGAACTCTTCATTGATGCAATGGAAACCAACACAAAAAGAGTAAGACATCTCAATACAGATGTTTTAAAGGCAAAAAGGCATAGTCCTACTCAACAGTTTATTAATTCAATGTATAGTGTGATACTGTATCAGAGAATAACAAGACCAACAAGAGTTACCACGCACAGTGCTACAATAATAGATAACATCTTTACCAATCTAATCCCTGAAAAAATTTTGTGGAATTCTTACTAACGATATAACGGACCATTTATAATTTTTTATGTTCCTAGCGGGCAAGCAAAAGAAAACTTATAAGAGTTCAAATGTAGGAAAATACAAAATAGTAACAACTACTGCAACCATATGTGCCCTGAAGCAAACCCTTGAATTCCAAAACTGGGAAAATAATTCGTAAAAATTATGTAAATATTGCCTAAGTTAATTTCCGGTCTGCCCTTGAATCATGTCTCAATGAACATTGTTCTATTATAATACAAAATATAGTCAAACAGAAAATCATACACCATAAATACCATAACCCATGGATGACAAACGGCTTATTAAATGCCTGAAAAAAGAAAAATACTTTGTATAAAAAACAATTAAAAACAGAATGAAATAATCTGAAAATAGGTATAAAAAATACAAAAATAAACTAGCTGATATTATGAGGAAATGCAAGAAGTTATTACAGAGCTTTACTTGATAGCAAAATAAAATAAAAACAACAAAGAGCTTTTGGAGGGTTCTGAATTAAATAATCAAAGGAAAGCTTAAAAACTCAGCACGAGTGGTTTATTATACTGGGCAGATATGAACACATCATTGCAAGCACAATGCATGTGATGACATCATAAGCCGCTACAGTAAATAA